AAAGATTCCTAACTTTTAACTTGATATTCTAAAGTAGTAACAGATCAGAATCCAAATCATACTTGGATAAAAAGACATATGTACCTTGATTATTCTTAAGTATTTAATTTTAAGTGAAACTTCTTATATTATAGATTAAAATAAAAAACATTTTAATTAAAACGTAATCTCAATTATTGGTTTACTCGAAGACTTTTTATCTGTCTTTAACTTAACTCGGTAGGTATCATCTGAACGTGTTTTTAATAAAAAAAAAGCAAGTAATGTGTGTTGGGCCGCAAACTACAGATTGGGGATCGTTGGATCCGAAGGCAATGACTCAACGCGCTATGGCCGACGCGGCGAGCGCCGCTGACTCACGCCTGGATGTAGACTTGCATTCTATTGTTAATATTTTTTTACATCTACCATTCCGGAATTGGTCTCTACCTGGAAGAAACAGATTGATAAAAATATTAACAAAATTAAAAATGAACCGAAGTTCAATATTCTGACTAAAGCTCAGATTGAGCTTGAAACTTGGAAGTAAGGTTTAGTCTTAGAATTAAATTAAAATTTAAGATTCGCGTCGTTGTCTGTTTTAAAGATTAAATGTTTGTGTGTGTGCAAATTGTGTTTAAAGAAATATATGAAATTCGGAGTCAAATAGAAACATCAAGTTTACCTGTGGTTTTCCTTAACCATTCCTGATTCGACTTTATCGTATTCTTATGCCAATCATACTAATATTATAAATGCGAATATTTGGATGGATTAATGGATGTATAGATGTTTGTTAGATGATAACTCCGTAACAGGTGCATGGATCTCGCTAAAATTTTGCATAACTTAGGTTGATAGACAAATACTATTAATCACGTTTTTTTATTCCGCTCTGACAAAGTCGCGGGCGACAGCTAGTTATAAATATATTCAAATGTAATGTTTAAATTTATGTGTATATAGATTATTTATTGTTAATATTAACGCTATGTATGTTAACCTACGAGTTTATTGGTGACCAATATAAATACTGAGTTTTACTAAGTTAAAATCAATTGACGTTTTTTTAATCATGTCTTACTGCTGTGTACCTTCTACAGCGGAGATGTGCGCGGGCGCATTGGTCTCTGCGATGCGAGTTGGCGAGACAGTCGCTGTTGCTAGGCGAGCGGTCGCCAGCGCCGCCGGTGCCGGTTGCCGCTCGGAAATTGTCTGAATTCTAGGCCACTGCCGCCGCTAGCCGTCTCTCTCGCACTGATGCGGTCTGTGCCATCGCAATCAGACAGCTTCGTGATATTGTTGCACGGTAAAATGCATGATTTTCAGAACAGTTACCATATTAAATGGAACCAAATTTGGCGGTAAACAACATTGTATAACTTCGATATTATAAAGGTTTGTAACTTTGAAATGGGCACCTACATTTTGTGGATTGTATTTCGAATTGTTTTAACGCTTTATCGAAAAAAAATTCTACTCGTTTTTCTAATTATGACTTTAGGTTCATCTTATTGACTTAAGCACCCTTTCCTTTCACCGATTAATTTTACTAGCATACACGTAATTATTTACTTATTAGAAAGTTGGTAATCAAAAACATGTATTTCTATTGGCATTTTATTATATTGGTGTTGCCATTATTAGTAATTTGAATCTCTTGTTGGTTTGTAAGCAATTTCACGACAATGGGCTAGCAAAATACATTTATAGCTGGATAAAATCGTATTCGTGTCGGCAACAATGTTGATTATTACTTCTTCGATGGTTCAACGATATTTTACTAATACTGTTAATACGATAGGTATCGTTATTACCTTTTTATGAAGAATAATAAATCTATAATTTTATTGAAATCAGATATTAAATAGATTGTTAAATAAAAAAGAATTTATTTTTTTATTGTAATTACTTAGCTGGTCGTAGAGGTTTCTCACCCTTGCACAGTACGGTTTCCTAACTTATAATGTTATGGATTTCAAGGGCTAGATCTAGACTGATTAACTAGACAAGATGCCATGAACACCCCGGCCAGCCTTTGAGTCCGCTTTATGTTAGAATTGGTTAACCTTTGATTAGAAAGAAAGAAAAAACAGACGCGTTGAGTTGATCGGTAATAAAATTATTGTGCGACAAACTAATTAGGTCCGATCGGCAAAATAAAGTCTGTAGTAGCTATCTTATTATGTCTTGTATTGTCATTACCTGTAGCAGACTGTCAGTGCTACAGACATCAGGCCAGATAAATTAGTAGGACTCTAAAATGTTCCAGTAACATGGCAGAGATAACCTTCACGATATTATAATAAGGAATAGTATTTTAAAGTAATTAAGAGATAACAATGTTAATAATATATTCCGGTCGATAAAACACCCTAATTTATACGGGCTAGTTAAAATAAATCGTTTCAATTGTCTTCTATATAAGTAGAAAAAGACGTTGAAATATGAATAAGTTTGGTAACTTATCTTACTACCACACTGAGATCTTTCCTTAGTGTCGATTCTTCAAACTAAAGGAGTCAGTCTTTGAGTTAGTTGCTTATTATCTGCATAAAACTATGAATACCTATTGAAAGAAATAAACACAGTACAACACAGATTTTAGTTCTTATGTTTTCCATGTCTCAGGTTTTTTTCTAAGTGAGAAACGAGATGGGAGTTGTCTGATGTTTGAGATAGCGCAAATAGTTGCTAGTTCGAGGCATTCCGTGTTTTATGTCCACCGTCCGGAATCTAAAGCTGGCACCGGTCCAACTCGAGTGCATTTTTTTCGCCAACATATTGGACCGGTTACCGAAAGTCGCGCGGCATAACGGCATGGCCGAGAGGCTGATCGGTCCGTGGGAAGAGCGGGTTCCGGCTGTGCCACTTGCGGCGCCTTTCACCGAGCAAGGTCGCCCCGCGACCGCCACTTTCTTTCCACGGCCGCACGGAATGCGACACCCGAATTTATTGCGATGACGTCACCTCGACCCCAGTCTCCGAAAATTTCCCGCCAAACATATATTATGTGTATCGATTGCCGCCATTTTGTTTATCTTAATTCGTATATTGTGCTTTTTCTTAGTCACAAATCTTCAAACAAAGTTGCCAATAGCATTAAAAAGAACTTTTCCGAGAGTTTAAGAATATTTTTAGTTGATACAATTAAAGTTTAGATGGAGCTTTTGCAGTGATTCATTGCGAAGAGAATCGCGGTTTGCATTGCAAATGATGATAATTTCTCGTTGCCGCCGCGTAAGCTCCAACAAAGTGTGGCTCGCGCGAGCGCCGCGCCGTCGCAGGGTCGCAGCAAGGTCGTCCGGCGAGAAATCGGCTCACCAAACCTCTATCGGTTCCGCTTTGTTAATAAAATATGCACGATTCTTTTAATGACTACATTTAGACAACTTCATATTATCTTATTCACAACAAACAAACAGATTTCAAAAAGCTCACTCCACTATTCGAAAGGTACAACATTCGGGAACCTACGCGTACTACTTTTGTTATTAATTGTATGCGTAATTCTTCCTTAATTTTATAATTTTAGTTGAATTTAATTTGTTACGGATTTTTTGTTATAATTCTGAAAAGAGATGGCGCTCACGTAATTAATACGAAGATTTTTATTCTTCTTAGTGAAACGTATTAATAAATTAATAAGTTACATTTTTTGTTTTATTGTACGGCGAATCTTTTTATTGTGGAGAACCTACGGTTCAGTAGAAAAAAAAAATATTTATAATATATCCGGAATTAAGCAAACAGTAAGTACAGTATTGCCTCATGAATTATTTATTTAGATGTGATTACATTTGGAAATATTCCATGGGTATAAGTATAACACATATATTATGACTAACGTTACAAAATACTGTGTCTTTTATATTGGGTTGTGTAGTACAAAATCTGACTAAAATAAATATTTTATAATACAATTATTATACATTTCAGTGACTATGCCGCTTTGAGACAATTCTTTACTACAAGTGGGCACCTTCTAGAACCTTCCCCGAGCCATTTGTCTAGTAAGGATAATCTATCTTAGTCGTGGGCTGGGTGCCTGCAACTAAGTTTTATTAAAAAAAAGTCATCTAACTCTTATAATTTTGAATAATAAGTATATATTTAGATGTATTTAAGAAAGGTAATCTGAACCTGAAGCTACTGAACATATTAAATACTCTCTAATGTAGAGTGAGCTAAAAATAGCCAAAATGTCTAATGGCGCGATTCGGTATTCGAAAGTGACAGTGAGAGAACGGCACATCCGGTACGTTCCGGAACTACAAAAATGCTTCTTGCATTGGAATCTTGTTACATCACCTTCAAATGGATATAACAGTCACGCCTAAATAGATTACATAATTATTCATTCAGTAAAACTATCACTTTGTGAATGAAAGAGTCAATTCTAATGTGTACTCTATAAATTGTTCTTTTAATAGTACTTAAACCTTTTTACCTAGCATTTTACTAATAAGGGTAGGCTCTGAGCCCCGCAGTGGGGATTATAGTGGGCTGATTCGTGGGTTTTACTGATTTTATAGTAGATATGATTTAAAAACCATACTTTGTTTTTATACAGCTACCTTTAGATAATTAGCATGCTGTGGTTGCCAGGGCAGATGACGAAAAAAAATAAGTTATTATATTTAGCAGACAACGAAAAATAAAAATTCGCTCATCTTTTCGAGTCTCCTAAATTGTATGTTATTTGAGACAAATAATAACTAATTTTTATTCCTTTCATCGCGCCATCTATCGGTCTATTTTGTCAACAGAATTCGAAAGGTAATCATAAATTATAGAGTTAACTCGTTTTACTGAATTATTATAAACTTGATTTTCTAGGCCACAAAACTAATTTAAATCAATTTACGAAAAAAAAATACAAAAAAAATTTACAAAGTGTAGCAGAAAATGATAGAAAATATTCGAGTTCTTACGAATGACAAGACGTGCTTACACTACTCTGTGGTGATGGTGACAAGCAGCTCGAAGTAGTAATATTCTCTTTGAAAAGCAGATGGCAGTTGCAAATGTTTGACAAGTATTTAATAAATGTGATGAATTTTTCGATAAGTTACACGATGTTTTTAAATTAATCAAACTTCGTTCTACTAAAATCAATTTTAATATCTTTACTATTTAAACAAACAAGTCATATACCTCTGTACTGAAAAATGTGTTTTTAAATTATGTGACAAACTGTTGATATAAACATGGAATCAAATTCTGTAAAAAAGAAAAGCAATGTGTTCGATAATATTAACACAAAAACATCGATCACGTAAGTCATACTTGTTTCTATTATTTTACATTAAAACTATGTTAATTGTAGTGTATAAGTAAAGTCATAATTATGTTTGTTATGTTTGCTTCCTATTGCAGCTGTACCAATGTGCCTGATGGTTTATTCGATACGCCATCGGCCAAGAAACACTTCAGCAAGTTTGGGCGTGTCCAAAAGATAAAACTTCTTCCTAAGAAACAAATGTGTATTGTGGAATATGAACAAATCTCGGGTGCGGAGCAAGCAGTTCTTAATGCAGGGGCATTTGATGGATTTATGTTTGATGTAACTCGAACGAAGACGCGGATGTATGTTATTTATGGTTTAATTCAGCATAGATTAACTTATTAACAATCCCAATAAACATTCCTTATTTTGTTAACAACAATAATTTTCAATTATTTTATTAGAATGCCATGAATTTCAATGATTATAAGAAGTCATATTGATTTAAAAAAAAATTTCTCATTACAAGCGGACGGCATAAAAAAGATGAAGATCCTGAATGGTTACCAGACCCAGAGCTGGAGAAGGAACTATCAGCTATGAGAGGTGGTCCTACATATAGAGTGCCTCGACAAAAAGGTAAAATTTTATTATAATTGAAACACATGCAATTTTCAATATCAATTTATTACTATCCAATAGTGCCAAAGAGCTAAGAATTTATTTGATATTACATTTTATAGCAATGGAAATAGACCCTGTTGTAAGAAATGTCAAAATTCCATCTCCGAGGTCGTCCAAAATGAGTTTTAGAAAAACTATACAGATAGCAAGACCAAAAATGTAAGTATTTTTTTGTCCCCAGAATAATATATAAGAAAATATTTATAGTGACAAATGCTTGTGTTTATGCTAATATGAAGTATATAAAACTTTCATGTTGAACAGTTTTATGTCATTAGATAAACCAACTAAAATCATAAAACTTAATTGTGTTTAATACATTTTTAAACAATTTACTGAGCAGATATTGTATTGCAATAGTCAACTAAACTTTTGAAATATAAATGTGGCAAACTATAGCTAATAATCTATTGATACAGAAAGCCACCACCACCACTTTATAGAGCTCCACCGAGTTCTATAGAGACACCAGCAGTAATCACGGCTGCCACAACAACTTTAAGCACTTCCGAAGCAGCGGGTGAATTGCACCAACTGCGTTCCAGAGTCTCTCAATCTGCTGATGAACAGTGGAGAACACTTGATGCTAGAGACAGGTGATGTGAAACTACAATTTTCTTTTTATTCCAGTGTTAATACTAAAAATATATGTGCTTGCACTGCACTTATAATATAACTGTTAATGAATAAACAAGGATGTGAGAATGATAAACAAATTGAATCATTTCTATTTCAGGATCTTACGTAGTTGGGGTGGTGCTGGGTCTAGGGTAAAAGTGGGTGGTGCCACAATTGGTACTTGTCCAGACATGTGTCCCGAGAAGGAATTATTACACCGGCAAGCTGAACATCAGGTATGTAATGGTTTAAATTTTTTCAGTGCATGTTAACTTTTCTCAGCATCTAATTGTCAAAGAATATTTAACACTAGCTGTTGCCCGCGACGCCGTCCGCGCGGTGTAGAAAAAAACTTAATTAGTAGCCAAGTTTCAGCAGGATCTGTTCAGCCATTCGTAAAGTACCTTCTAATAAACATCCATCCGTCCAAAATTTCGCATTTATAATGTTAGTAACATTATTTCTTTCATCATTACAGGTTATGACATTAGAGACGGTAGCAGATTCGGACGGTCAGTTGGAGGCGTGGCGTGCGGTGAAGCAGTACAGCCGCAGTTCCGCTGACCAGGAGATACCGATGTGTTACGAGCTCAGACCGGCACATGTCCTCGCCAGGACCTGTGCATATCTGTTGAATGAGATTGCCGATACTGATCGACAGGTACACTTGCTTCAATGTTGCTCTATCTTAAATCAATATATTATAATTTAAATTTTGGATAATGTTATGTATTCTTGAAAATGTTAAGTTATTATGGAAATTAATAAGAAGTGTTTTATGATATATCATATTAATAAATGTTTAATTGTGCAGGTGACGTTAGCAGATTGGTTCCATTTTATGTGGGATCGGTTTCGTGGGATACGTAAAGATATAACACAACAGGCGTTGTGTTGTGCAGGTAAATGCTACTTCCTTCTTACTACTGTAACGTAGAAAACTGTGTCGGTATGTCGGCGCAACACTAGCACTATTAAAATATCATCTCTTATGTCTAATCTACTAATCAATCTGACACTTGGTAACAAAAGCCCGCCATTCGGTTCAAAGTATTCTAACTACAAACTTATTATGTTTCAATTGACTTTATAAATATTATCCCTTTCAGAATCAATTCGTCTGGTAGAGATGTGCGCACGTTTCCACGCGCACTGCGCTGCTCGACTTGCGGACTTGGCGCACACGCAGTTCGATCAGAAGCTCAACACGGACAACTTGACCAAGTGCTTACAGACCCTCAAGCATATGTACGCTGATGTTGGCCCTGAACTGAAGCCAAGAGAAGCGGAATTCAGAGGATACATTGCCTTGCTAAATTTGGGAGACTCCAATTTTTGGTGGGAGGTTAGTAATTGATTGGAATGTTATACTATGAAGTGGGACAGATTATATATTTCCGTAAGAAGAAAAAGAAAGATAAGACCAGTTTATATTGATAAAAACTATAACAATATAATATATATAGATAAGGAATAATTAACTCGTCTGACCAACGACCTTGTATGTAGTATAATAATTGTTTGTTTTTTTTCTTTTTTCAGATAAAACAATTACCGGAAAAAATTCAAAAATCGGAATCTATTACATTTGCAATACAAGTGTTCACAGCACTGGACAATAACAACTACATCAGATTTTTCCGTTTAGTCAAAGAAAAAGCCAATTACCTACAAGCATGCATTCTTTTGAGATACTTTAATGATGTTAGAGCACGTGCGCTCGCTAGAATAGTAAAAGCGTATGCACCAAGAGGTGGCTCTAAGTTCCCAGCTGAAGATATAATGAAAGCATTGGCATTTGAGTCTGTAGATAGTATGAGATCATTCATAGATCATTACGGATTACGTTTCTCCAAAAATGACACCGAATTAACAATTATATTAGATAGAAACCAATTCATAGAAGACAGTGATCCATATCCTTTATCTAGAGCTGCAAATCTAATAGAAACGAAACGGAACAGTAGCGTAGGTGAAGTTATAGCCGGAGGTCCAGTCCCAAAACATGACTACCGTAATCATGTTCTATATTCGAGTTTCAATAAAGATGGAACTTTGAAGGAAACCGCGTTGATAGCAGAAGATTTGGGATATAATACAATGAATGATACAAATAAAGATATAAAATTATTAAAAGCCGAAATACGAAAGCTTAATAGTGATGGTAGAAATATTTCTGATGCGCAAGATAGTGCAAAAATAGTGAAAGAGAATCGGAAAAATATCGTTGATATATCACGTCCCAAAACAATACCAAAAACGATTCCACCCGTAAGAAATGAGACTGCAAAAAGAATATTTTCATTCCAACCCGCCTTATTGGTCGCCCCTGCAGACGTTATAAAAGTTTTCAAAATAAATGATACGAAAAATATTTTCAGTTTTTCCAAACCTCAGCTGGTTACTGAGTCGAAAATCAAAATTTCAAAATCTCAAGAAATTACTGAGAATAAAAGCATTTTTACATTTTCTAAACCTCCAGAGATTACTGCAACTAAAAATGTTTACACATTTTCCAAACCGCAAGTAGTATCTGACAGTAAAATAAACAAGGAAAATACGGTATTAAAAACTTATGTTTTCAAAAAGCCAATTATCGTAGAGTACAGTAAAAACCTTGATCTTAGCAGCGGCGATGGAAATAAGTTAAATGGCGGTTTCAATTCTTCAGACAGTTTTAAGGGTAAATCATCTCTATTAAATAAGAGTATATCCACTGATATCCAAAATACAGATGGTAAATTGTCACCTGGAAGCTTGTTTAAAAAGGCACACACAGAAGCAGATAAGATTTTTGACTCTGGGAAGGCATCAAAAGATGTTTATGAATTTGAAGAAGAGGATGATCCAATCAAAACACTTAGTGAAGAAAAAACTAAAGCAGCTGAGAAGAAAATGGAAGAGGAAAGAAAAAGGGAAGAGGAAGAGAAAAGAAAGATAGAAGAAGAGCGAAAAAATGCAGAGCTTAAAAAGAAAAAAGTTGAGGAAGATAAAAAAGCAGAGTTGAAACAAAAAGCGGAGATGGAAAAAGCGTTTAAGGAAACGGTTGAAAAGAATTCACAAGCATTAGTTGATGAACTTATAGAAGTGCTTACGAAAGAAACAGTTCAAAATCTAATTGAAGAAGAGTTACAAAGTTTAAAAGATGTAATAGTTAATTCTGAAAAAGTAATAGAGGAATTATTAAAAGATTTGTGTAAAGAAATTTGCACCTCAGAAGTAAATGCCGAACTATTTTGGGCGAAGAAATTGATGAAGAAATGGTTTTATGTTTGGAAGAAGCAGTGCGTTAAAAATATCAAAAGACGGAGCTTTCTGGAAGATACGCCAGTTTGGTTAACAAACTTTACACCTGCTGAGGAAGCTAGAAATTTGAATAGAGTTATGAAAATTTCACCATTAAAGAATATGAAAATATATGGCTTTAAAAGATATAAAGTTACTGAGCCAGATGAGATGTCCTCACTGAAACCCTATAACATTTTGGAAATAATTAGATCAACACTTTTAAAAAGAATGAAAGAAATTAACTATCCTTATGATAAATGTTTCTTTTGGAAAGTGACTTTAGTAGTTCCAGGATCTGACAGATGGCTGTATAGGAGAGTAAACGTCGAAAGTTGGTTACTAGAAGTTTTAGGCGATAAAAATAAGAAAAACAATAGCGATGGTTTAATTAATGTCTCAAAACAGACATGGAACAACTTAATGGATTTCGCCATATCTGTTGGTCTAGTAAACAAAAAGCTATTGTCAAAACATCGCGAAGCTATAGAAGGTACCAATGGATTTTTATTTTATGCTGAAGAAAAGGAGGTTGACTTATTGAATGCTGTTGAAGAAACAATAAAATGTATATATTCATATCAATCAGTTCCCGTTGCTGTTGTTGTACCAACATGGGATGAAGTGGCCATAAACAAAATAAAAGAACAATTGGACATGTTAATAAATAAAAATATAATATCCAGTTTTAAAATATTTTTAGTGCAAAAGGTCAAATTATATGAATCTTTGGACTTGTGTACCAAAAGTGCTCTTAAATGGTTAGCTAAAAATTGTCCTAAAAGTCCTCCAATTGAAATTGATCACTTAAAATCAATATGCCAAAGATATCTTGGTAATGAAATATGGCAAAGATTAAGATGTGAAACTGATAGCAGAATGGGAATAGTTAAGCAAGATTTAAATAAGCTAGTCAACTGTTATAATGTGGCAGTGGATAAACTGACAGATGTTATAACAAATATGGATATATTTAATTATCCTTCATTCCCATTGGAGTTTGATCAATACTTAGATCACAGTTCTCCATATCCAAAACCTTATGAATTTATATCAAGTAGTGTGAAACAGAATGAAAATGTGCTAGCAATTAAAGCATTTATGAAAAAGTTAAAATTAGTGCAGTCGGTCACCGAATTTAAACCTGTGAACGCTATTAATATGGAACAACAAATACAAAGTTACTGCAGTCAAGTTGAATGTTTAGAAAATCCTCAAAAAGTAGCTTACAAAGTTATAGCAACACTTCCGAATGAATTTTATAATACTCAAACACCACCTGCAGAATTCAAGAAAATTTTCCAAAAATATAGTTTGATTGATTTTTTAAATATTGTGGTTTATGAAAAGATAAACAGTTTGCATAATTTTGATAATTTATGTGCCATTTATGAAAAAGGGTCACTAGAAGAATATCGCAATGTTCACTGGTTGTACGATATTTTCTCTGGTATGATGAAGCATAAAGCTGTAGATTATGATGAGGACATAGATCATTTTATTAAAGCCAAACGTCGTAAGATAGATGTCAATGAAATTGAGAATTCTATGCTTGAAGATAAAGATTACCAAAAGTTTGAAACCAGTTTAGATGCAGCAAATGCAAGCATTACCTCACTAAAAAATTATAAGGATGAAGTAGATAATTTAGAAAAACAACTCGAAGATGAGAAAAAGAAATCAAATGTACTTGATAATATGTTACAAATGGCGTTATTCAATACATAATATTGTTTTGCTCATTGTCATTTACAATTAATTTATTGTGAAAATATAATATGAATATGTGTAATAAAATACAATTACTTCATTGTTTTTTTACCTCATGATTTTCAAAATAATACAACCACGTTGAAGTGAATGAATACATATTTTCATATTAGTTTGTTTTTATTTACTATTTTTGCTTAAAACTGGCAGGTATGTATTTATCCTTACAATTGCCCTTTCAAAAAACTAATGTGCGGCAGATGCCTTGTCTGTATACAAAAGCAACAAAAAAAAATCTGTCATCTTAAGTCTCTAGTGACATCATTCTTCGCACAATAGTTTTGAAGACTTGAAGTGATTTTATTTACATTATAGCATGCAGTATGGTTATGCATATACTAGTTTCTTTAAACATTTATTCACAATCATTTCTTGGCTGCACAACTTTGAGACATGCATCGGCAAATTCAGTGAATATAGGCTCAATCATATATTCTTTTATGAGATCATCAGGATATGCAGATTTGTCTAATAATTCTAACATTTCCCGAACATATGGATTTTCTAAGCATTTCTTCACCTCGGAAGATTGTTCTGCAAATAATAAACATATAAATAAATAGTGCATTTTCTGAATATGATAATCTATATAAATATTAACTTGAGATCAAGCTTTTGTCAACATTTAACATAATAATGATACAAGGTTTTAAACTTGATTTTTACGTACCTAATAATTGTAATTTTTCTAGTGGTACTGTGTCTTCAGTTGGATATTCATATTCTACTGTATTATGCACTACGTTACTTTTCGGTTCTGTTACTGGGGTAGAAGCAGAACATGGATTTTCTTTGTGTATTTTATAACAGCCTACCGAGCAACTAAAACAAATCATAGTATGTAGTTCATATGCTGTAATTTAATGGCAGTTTTGTATAAAACATAACAAAGATTCGATTTATTCATGTAAAAATAAACAACTTACTACGGTTGACGGCATTTTGGACATTTGTATTTAGCACTGTGACTGCATTGTATGCAAATCATTTTTATACGAAGATCGTATATTAAATTAATGTAAGTTAAAAAATTTATAACTATTTTTAAAATAGTTATTAGAATTATACTGAATGTGTTCTCAAAACAATGCTGACCATGTGACTTTGACATGACATTACCAGCCTAAAATTTAAGTGACAGATGACAGCCAAGAATTTTTTAACCATAGATTACAATAACTTTTTAAGTACGGTATCTTGTTTTCATACAGAATGCCCAAACGCCTACTGGAGAGTTAGCCAGGGTGGGGTAGATCACGCGATACACTGAAATTAAGATGGCTAGATGATGTCGAATGATCTTAAATATACCGGCAACATCATAAAGTAGACCGACATGGAAATATTTACTGGACCAGATTCATTCGCGACTGTATTGCCTCTGATGATGATGATGATTTACACAGCTTATTAAATGTGTTGACAAAAAAATGTTTTAGTTCGAATTCTTGGCAATTTTGAGGAATAGCTGGAAAGCTTTTGTTGACCCGATAAAGTTTTTCGAGTTCATTAGAAACGATTAGATATTTTTGTTTTATTCTTTTATTTAAATACAAATCTTCACTTCTAAAATAATAAAACGTGTTTTATTCTTTTGTACTTTAATTATGCTCATAAATATTTACAGTCACGACACACAATTCATATTTCCGTCAAATTACAGCAACATTCATGGACGTTAAATAGATAATTGTACACACCAATATCTAATAAATTAACTTGATTGTACTTCTACTGTAACATTGGTCTGAGTTTTCACAAATATTTCTATTTAGTACATAGATATTATTTTATTTCAATACATTAATCAGAATAGGTATATTACAATCTCCATTAAAGTTAATTCTGAAAACTCTATGTTAAATCAGCAATAAACACCAATCACCAATGTTAACCAAACGAACAGGGTAGTTTACTTTTAACTACTACGATTGAATTGAAAAAAAATCCGTCTAAAGTAATGAAAGTGAAAAAAATCTAATTATTATTTACCAAAAGGACGGATCAGTGGACGGAAATTGGTGATTTTGTTACACTATTAGAATAAAATAGCTATTTAATACGAGCAATGCAGTAACAGATGACCCGTATTTTTGGCGTAGGTTGATTGATTTAGAATTTAGATCGAAAAATTTAGTATAAAACAATATTGGTTTTCCATTAGCTTGTCTTTTGGCGTTTCAGGCTATTAATTTGTATTTGTATTTTCAATTGTAATTAATCGGAATGTTAAATTCAACTTAATTTAAGTAGAACAATATTTGGCAGTATAACAATTTACCTATATACGAAAAAAAAATTGTTATGTCAGTTATTGAAATAGCGCAATTATCATTTATCCATAACAGTAATATACTAAGAAAATACTTAACTATTACAAAGTTTATACTATTAATGGCAGTTTATACGACTCATACGGATACATACAAAAAAGGCGAACACACAAAACATTCATCGATATAACAAAAATAAGTAATACCGATATCTTAAATATCTATAATCTATATAGATTTATAACTCGTGATGTGTTGGTCTGTTGTCTGACACGTAGTAGGAGACGTCTGGCGGTGCTGTGCCGGCGTCCGCGGCCGCTAAGGACAGGTATCGCGCTCTTAAGTGATGTGCCGAGGCCTTAGGTTGTCTTGATCTTGTGAAAATGCCCTTTTTATTTCCACCTACTCGGGTTATTGCTGAAAAAAGTATTATAATTAGTTATGCGAGCTGTTAAAATTTAGATTGAGTTTTAGAATTGGACTTTAAAAAGACAATTGAGACTACGGATTTCTGCATATACCATATAGACAAGATTTTGATTACTTCAAGCTAGTAGGCAGAAAAAAGTTACAGGATTTTTCTTAAGATTAGGTCATGAAATTGGTTCTGTGTTTGTTGTTTATTTATTTCTTCTCGTTTCGGTTGAGTAGAATACTTACTCTGAGCAGTCTTAAAGTCAGCGAAGTTCCATATGAATTCGCCTGCAAAGAATCCAGCTTGTCGCAATTTGTCGAATGCCTTAAAATGCTCTGACATTAAGGCTACTTGATACTCCTCCGCCCATACGTACTCTGGAATCTAAGACGTGTTTTATATTAATTTTTATAAACTTTTAAATTACGCGGAAATACTTGTTAAAGTTTAGTAAGATTACGGAAGAAATATTCGCAAATTTTATTATTATTATTTTTCCATGATACTAAATATCTAAATGAGTAGTCAAAACCATGTCTTACGAGATGCAGCCCCGCGATGGTGTCAGCTCCGTATTCGGTCATGATGACAGGCTTGTTGTGCTTAAGGTGCCATGCGTTGGCCTCATCCACCACGTTGTTGGTGATCATGGATAGCGAGCCCGTTGACGTGTACCAGCCGTTGTAACGGTTGAAGCATATCACGTCCAAGTGTTGTCCCTGAATAAAGATATTTGAATAAGATGACATAACACGTTAAATGCGGCAATGATTTTTACAAACTTTCTATTCGTTCAGTGCGGATCGTTTTGTTCCCTTTAACGACTTATCGTATTGAATCTCTTGCCGATTCAGACACTAAAACTGCTTTTATTAATTAAAAAATGAATATAGCTTTTTGACTTACGGCTCTGTCGGCTGCGTAGTGTTGAGAGATGGCAATAGTAACAGGCCGTGATAAGTCCATGGTTTTCACGTGACGAACTATTTCGCTGCAAAGAAAATTAATTTAACTCAAACATACTGGAAAGTTCAATTTAATTTAGCATTTTTCAAAATGTTTCAGATTTGCAGAAAGTGTTGGTGACAATCTTCAAATAATATAAAAACTTACCCAAAGTAAGCATCAGCGAGTCGGTTGGCGGACCTGGGCTCGTTGGAGACTGACCACATCACGACACTGGGGTGGTTCTTGTCGCGTCGGATGAGCTCCGTCAGCGACTGCTTGTGTTTAGTTAGTAGAGCTTCGGAAAATACACTGCCAACATAAAAATAATACTTATAAACTGCAAAAGAAAAAAAACATCTTAGTATAATTTTGGTAGTATATGGAGAATATAGAAGAAATTATAAATTGGAATGTGTTAGAAAATACTGATAGAGTTTGCTACAACTTTATTACTTAATTCGTAAGTTGTTTCAAACAATATATTAGAAATGGTACCATATTACTATATAATCGAGTAACCCCCACTTCCTCATTAGACTTTCAAAACCTTTAAGCATCTGTCTTACTCTGTATCAGCTCCAGGACATTCGTCAATAATCATGATGCCCTGGGCATCAGCCAGCTGGTAGATCTCCTCGGCGTATGGGTAGTGCGAGGTTCGGAATGCGTTGGCACCTAGCCAACGGATCAGGTTGAAGTTCTTCACCCACAGAACTGGGTCCCAACCTTTACCTCGTAACTGTGAATTTATAAAACATTAAAAAAATAAATCAATTAGAACAATGTAATAGAAATGTTACGAGAAACTAGTAGTAGAAATTAGGAACTTTTTGAAACTGCTACTTACATCTGAATCCTCGTGCATTCCGAATCCTTTCAGATAAATTGGTTTGTCGTTGATAAAAATAGTCGTGTTGCTCCAAGTGACAGTTCTTATACCAATTTTTTGATTGTACGTATCAATAGTTTCACCTTGAATTCCAATGAGACTGACCTAAATAAATAATTACAGTAAATATACTTTCAGTATTGATTGCGGAATAGGTTATCGAAAATGGTAAAACGAAGGGAAAACCTGTATTGTGCATTGACAACTTAAATTATATACAAGTATGTAATCAAAGATTGTCCATATGCCGTATTACAATTAAGTACTTATCTGTCAGTTATATGCTCAAGACAGATATTATAACAGGACTTTGATTGAGATATTTTTGACCTAACGCAAGTTAGGTTATAGGTCAAGTTATCATGTCATCATGCCCCAAATCTCTATTGTGTTATTTTAATTTTATGAACAAGGGACGTACACGTACGTATTTAGGTTCACCATACACGGACCGCTGTTTGCAGACGCCTCTAAAAATACGCTAACAACTTGAAACTTTCGGTACCGTTAATTTGAAGCAATCCAATGTGCATTTCATTTCAATGATTTAAAATTTAGTTATTTTTTAATTTCATACTCACCCTAAAAGTGTACAAGTATCCAGGATTGGGATGCATGAGGTAGGGCCACCAGAAGTTAGCATTGCCTATTTCAATGAGACCCGCGCAATCATTAGCCGCCGCCACCTGCGTGTCATTCTTGTCTAGTATTTGAATCAAACATTCAACAGAGCCGCCATCGCTCAAACCTTTCTGCGTCACGTTGTACACAATGAAACCTGCAAAAAGAAAAACATTTGAAGATTTTTTTATTTAAAAGTACACTATGCCATTCACAATTTATTATACTAATGTATCTCTTAACACGGTTACTGCTACCCTCACTTAAATAGCACATAGCGGCACTCAACGTGTTATTTATTCCTTTCTAGCCATGACATAACTTGTTCAGCATCACGCATCAATCTTTAAGGGCACAATTAACTTAACTATAGCTAAAGAACTGGTCCTTAGTCTAGTATAATAGTGTTAGATACAATGGATGCAAAGGCAGCGCGGTATAAATGGGTCGTACCGTTAGAGTTCGTCATTGTGCCCGCTGATATCATCTCGAGCACATTGTTGTCATGTAAATACGTACACTATGAATGTTCCCATTCTAACACCACAGTATGTACTGTCCTTAACACCAGAGATTCTCAAACTTTTATCATAGACCCCTTATAATATTCCAGTGGTTTTAGCGAACCTTTGCTGAGAGATTCTACAACTAGTGAACGCTTAATTTTATTTCACGCAATTGTATACTCTCACTAGGTCTTTCGAGGCAGTCCATCTAGAACACTTTGGGAATCACTGATTTATACGTAAATAGAAATAATTATCATCACATTATCTCTGTCATTTATCAAATCCACTTTCAGTTTCGACCTAATTACTGGGAAAACTATTGTTTTTTGTTTTTCATAGAACTATGATTCAACTAGTTACATCATAGTATGTGATCGTTTTTAGTTGCCCGCAACTTATTTATAAATGGAAGGATTGCATATACATTAATTACTGCACTCAAAATCATTTTATGCTCATTAATGGTGGGTTTCTGAGAGATAAATCCCTGACTAAAACATATTGTTATCTTTTTTTTTCAAAGATAATTAGGAGGATGACGATACATTTTATAAAGAGATTTTGGTTTCAGAAACCCATGGTAAGAGAGAGCTTAAGTGAGACAAACAATCTTACCTGTTAATCCTTGTATATCAGTGTTAACAATGACGTCATCGATATATATCTGCGGAGTGGAGTACAGGAAGACGGTTCTGTGTATGCCTGCGTAGTTGAAGAAATCGAACGTATACGTCTGTTCTTGTTTCACTTTGTTGATGCTGTAAGAAATAAGTAATTTTATTTATTATACTATTTAAAAAAATACGGACGAATTCATAACCTCCTTCTATTTGAAGTCGGCCAAAAATATCATCTGATTCTACAGGCTGTTAGGAAGCTTATTTAATGAAGTTCTAACCTCAAAGTGAAAAGTTTGGATTTCTATTGAATTTAAGACACTATTTTGATTATTGTATAAGGAAATACAGTACCATCCAATTTTTATGGAAACTCGCAATTTTGTACGAGACGCTGATGTATACTCAAATTTAATAGAAACGAAAAATTATATTAACTACTATGACTGGATGAGATGTTATTTATTGTATATGGGTTTATTTAGGACTATTTCAATGTGTAAATTGATGATACAAACATCTCTGTTTTTACAAATTTTCTGACTACAGCCTTATAAAGGTAAAATTGTTTAGGTATGTTTGTTATCTTATATATCAAATTCTCGTGTCACAATTTTCGTCCCCATACTCCTCCGAAACGGCTTGATCGATTCTCATGAAATTTTGTGAGCATATTGAGTAGGTCTGAGAATCGGGCAACATCTATTTTTCATCCCCCTAAATGTTAAGGGAGGTCCACCCCTAATTTTTTTTTTAGACAAACACGCGGACCGAGTCGCGGCCGACAGCTAGTAATTTGTAATTTGCATTCACTATACAACTGCATTTTTTCCTTAATCTTACTAGTAATAAATATTAATTTTACCTATTGGAAATTGAATTTTTAAAATTAAAAATATATAATCGTTTTATGTTCGGAATTTCACGATAAACAAATTCATAGAGATTTCTATATCTTTATCGCTTCAATAAAACAGCCAGGTTATTTGATTGAACCATAAAAGTAACACGGGATATAGATTTTTGATAAAAATGTTATGAATATTGAAAAGTTTATTTTTTGTTGTATTTCTGTCAGTCTTTAGATAGACGTAAGAAATATATTAGTAAAAGAACTATTAATTCAAACTTACGTTATTTAACGTCAGTTTGATTATCAATGATAAAAATTCTTATTTTTTATTTATACTAGCTATCACCCGCGACCCATAATTAGTGGCCTATGTGTTCTTCCAGATTATGTTTTATATGTATGCCAAATTTTATCGAGATTTGTTCAACCGTTCTGGAGATACATTCAAACAAACATCCATGCATCTAAACATTCGCATTTACAATATTAGTAAGATTAGTAACAATAGTAAGATCTAGAAAGAGTACGAATGCACTTCGAAATTAGCAATTAGAAGGTTAACAAAGCAAATAAGTCGTGGTATTTTATAATCATTGTAATTTAAATTACATTACGCTGATACTGCATTGCATCTGGAGATTCTTCCGATCTAATTATACCATAGCCTTATAATAACATACCTAATATTTTACTTTCGTAACGTTAAATTATTTGAATTAGTAGAAAAAAAATGTAAACGATCATATCACAGAAAAAAAATAATAATACAATAGCTTTTCTATAGTAAAATATTATAAAAATTGGTACATATGACTTAAAATAAATATCTTTATCTATATAAATTAATTACATCTAATACTTTTGAAAATAACTATATAATTTATCTACCATAGAAATAATAAGAATTAATTTTTTATTGTAGATCTGCGATCGCTAATAGAACTGAAAAATAGTATTTAAACGTGTTTACTTTAAAATTGTTTAGAAACATGTAAAGTATGTAATAATTTTATTCATAGTCAGGCAGTAGGTCATCTGACTTTAATCGTTTACTATTGCAAAGAAAAGTAAACAATAAAATGCAAGCAACAGTTAACAAATAAGAATGCAGCGAAGTGTGAAACATTACACAAACACATTAAGTATGTCCCAACGTGTCTGACAGGCAGCTTTGTTCATGCAATTGACCTCATCAAGGATACGAGGGATTAAATGGTCAAAGAACTCAATGTATTACTTAACATTGTTGTGCCTTTCCTCGTATTTTAATTTTACATTTAATTGGCCATCATTTTTGAAAATGTTGATTAATGTCACATATGTTATGGAAGGTTTAAACAAAACTAAACATTAGTTCACACTTTTGTAAAGTAATTTAATTACAAAATTAATTGACATGATCTGGGTGTGATAGTATTCCTACCAATGCAAGCATGTCGAGATACTTTCTCACTGACGCTTCGCTCCTATTGGTCACAGCGTAATGTTATATAGCCTAAAGCCTTCCTCTATAAATGAACCATCCAACAAAAAAAAGATTTTTTCAAATCGGTCCAGTAGTTTCTGAGATAAGCGCGTTTAAACAAACAAACTCTTCCGCTTTATAAAGATAGATTAGTATAACTTACCCCACAAATGTGTCTCTAATACTGCCTTGTGGTACGGTGTCACTTAAAAGTGTGTTGTCAACTACCACAGTTAGTAGGTTGCTTCCCTTTTCGCAGACTACATTCGTGATTTCCACTTCGAAGGGTAGATGTCCCATTTCGTGGTATGTCACTAACTTTCCATTTACCCACTGCAAAAAAAGAAATAAGTATGAAACGTTTTTAAATCCATGTTGCTTCCTATCTGACCATATATCTAGGTAAATGCAGTCAAAATAATTATTCCGACTTCTTAAGATAATATAAAGGCCTAATTAGAAATTCTCAACCTAAACCTTCTTATATCTTTGACCTTTCCTAGAGCCGTTTGTACTTTGCGCCGAGTATGGAATCTTTAAAACCAAGTCCGGATTTGCCAGTCTCTTCCAATCACACTCTCGACAGCTATTGAAGTAATACGTCACGAAATGATGCAAAGAACATTTTTAACATTTTATAACAGTGGTAGAGCCCGCTTTAACATCTTCGCACGAATTGTCCCGGCTCGCCCGGTGAAACACCACGACCACACAGAAGACAGGCGTGAAGTGGAAGCAATTCCGCGTTTCGTCTGATGAGTGTGCGTCCCGCAGGCCAAATTTAGTCCTCTTTCCCCTCCCACCCTTTTTCTCAAAGGATGGGAAGTGGAAGTGAACTTTCCGGATGAGAGGATGCATGGAAGGGGAAAATATTTTCTTTCTATGCATCATCTCCTCCGTCGATTAATGGTAGGCAACGCATATGCAATTACGTATGTCTATGGGCAACGGTCACTTCGCTATTTCAGTGATTTCAGGTGGCTCGCTCGTTTGTCACCTTATGATATAAAAAAAAGATAACGGTGTCTTTGTTAAAGGAACACATATTATATACTACATGTATTTGTTATACATTTAAAACCCTTTAAAACGATATTGAATGGGTATTCAGTTGTAATAATCGATATTTTGTTGTTCCATACATATGTATTATTAACGTGTGAATGCATATACATTCCTATATACATTTGTCTTTATCAGTACGGGGTTATCGTTTTATTTAATTCATGTGTTTAAAATATTATCTAAATTGTTATTCTGTGTACTCTCTGCTCTGTGTTCCTTATAAATGGACAAACCGGAATGATAATGCAATGACACTTATAAAAGTTCGTATTTTTAACATTATTAAAAGTTTCTTAGTTATTAATCAACGTCGATGATGAGTTGATTCTGAGTATAATTGATCACTAAGGTAACCGCTTAGTGTAGCAACCTGTTTAAGTAACCATAAAGTTTCTAAGTACGTAGTTAAATAATCACTAATACTAATGTATCTCGAAATCAAAGCGCATCGCAAGTACGTGTGAACCATCAGCGCGAGTGCAACAACCGAGAATGACTAATTGTACTACACTAGTTTGAATGAATGACATAAAGGTGTTGACACACTGAAGATATGAGCTGGTTGACAATCATTGTTAGATTCTGGTAAGGAATATGTAGATATTTATAATTGGTTGGCAAATATTGTCGAAACCTACTGATCGAAATTGCTGGCTAGCTTTGTAAAGTAAGCGAATACTTTTTTTTATACCTTAAGTTGTCATATAGTACTGGCCTTAAATAATGGGAGCAACATCGATTCAAAAACAAGTTCGCTTTTGCATCGCGCGTCTCGAGGAATGAGATAATTTCTTTATCAGCAGCGTACGTTCGTTTCTATTCACATGAGTTACGCAAAACGAACTCTACTCTCATTATCTCATTGTGTATTGAAATTTTTCTCTCCATTTGTCGTAACACTGCCTTTGATATTTTTGTAATTTGATTCTTAATTTAAGATATCACTGATAACGATGGTAAAGCAATAGAACGCAAGTCAAGCAATTTCTTTATTTTATTAAATAGCGATGCTTGACAGTCAAGTTACAGTTACAATAGTTATCAATTTGGTTATATTTCCACTCTTTGGAAGTCTTTAGACACGCGTCAATACATCTTATAAGCTTATGACTGTTTAAAAAGTGTTAAGTAGTTAGATAAATAATTACAAAATAGAGACTGAATTGAAGGTCAATAGTTATACTATTATTATAATAAAATTATGCATTTACAGTTGCTTCTCGCAAAGCTTTCATTGGTACATTGATCGTCGTATTTATCACATAAATCGTGCGTGCACTTTAGTAGTGGGCAACCACGAAATGATTTGTATTCGATTATAAATGAGGCATTGTGACGCGTCTCGATATCGCCGCACTGTCCCGTAAATTGCACTTTACGATCGACCCGCGAACAGCCCTTGGGAATATAAAATCAATGTTGCTCTACTATCTATACCTATGTAAAAGAACTTGTCTGATTCAACTATCAATGTACTTACAAGCGAAATGCGGATTCTTAGAACTTTGAACGTAAATTTTTTAAATACTGTAGGCGAAAGAAGATAGGATATAGGATATTATTGTAATTTACTTCTTTTTTGAGACTGAAAATTATTTGTTTTAAAACACCGTAACCTACAAGAAAGTGCATTGAATACTAGGTCATCTGTTATCGAGGTGAATGAGACGTTTAACTCGCGGCCTGCGTCTCACGAGACAGCTCACGTTTGCCAAATTATCCAATTGTCCAATTGCCGGGTGACATGAATGACGCGGACACCTCCAGTTTGAACTACACCTCGTTCGTCCCGCATCACGACTTTTATGTTGCCCTAGTACTCACAATGCATTACGCTTTGAAATACTTTATTGGATTTTATTTTATATATGTCTTCAATGTCTATGTTTTGTTTTATGTTTTCAAATGAACTTAATGTTCTTAATACATTTAATAATACTCACAACTTGTGCGGCGTAGTGTACGCTGCTGAAGCGAAGCCAGATGCGCTGTTTATTCTGCTGCCAGGAGGAGGGCACGTAGAAGCGCCTGTCGTACCACACCAGCCCAACATGGTCCCGCAGAGACGCGTCCTCTCCTATATCGTTGTACGATGAAGGTACTGGCATAGGAATCACTGGACCTGTCTGGGATATTCAAGTTATATTAAATTAAAGGTTGGAATATTTAATAGCACGTCAGTCATGGATTGTTATTGTATTCTTTTTAACATTAATATGTGGCAAAGGAACCAACGGGTATCTGGATTCGCCGAAATAGCGAAATGACCGCTACCCATAGGCATCCGCAATTGTAGGTGCATTGCTTTCCTTTTATCGACGGAGGAGGGGACGCACAGGCAAAGAATTCCCCTTCCTATGTGTCCCTTCCTATGTGTCCCTTCCTCCGTTGAATCCACTTTTCGTGCACATTCTTCGTGAAGCCTCGGTTAATAGTAAATTTGCAATATATCATTGGCTTCTGGATTGAGAGAGTTCCTCAGGATAGTAACATAAATATAAAGTTGTAAAGATTTTTTTTATTAAGAATGAATAGTCAAGCAGATTTATCAGAGTAGTATCACCATGTCTTTGTTTGCTTTTAGTAGTTCAAAGTACATTGATAAAATGCTTGATATAGCTAGTTTGAATTAGTATAATTCAACGCCTACTTATTGTTAAAGAAATGAGTGTAGACAATCAAGAGATTTAGAGAATGGACAAGTAATGGCTCATCACGTAGAATTGGACACTGTGATGTTGGGAAGATATAGTTTTCACTGCCGACACATCACTAGTATTGTAACATTTGTATTGTCATCCCTTTCATTCTATTTGAAAATAACAGAGATAATTATATTTATATATTGATGAAAGAAATTAACTTAAGAGTGATGAAACTTTTAATATTTTTTATGATATATTAAAGCATAATTTTGCAAATTCATTCAATCGTCATGTCGGTAAATTGAATTGGAAATGCATTACAAGTTCTATAAGGATAAAGACACGATAAACTGATCGATCGATGATCGCTAAATGTTTTAAGCACTTAGGTATATTTTTTGTACCATGTGGATTAAGACGCCGTCATATATAATATATAATTTATATTACACTAGCTGTCGCCCGCAAGTCCGACCGTATTTAAAAAAAACATAATAATTAGTTAGTTCTTCCAGTCTGTGTTCTGCATCTATGTCAAGTTTCAGCGAGCTCCATTCAGCTGTTATACGGGAAAAGAAAAGAACTGTTTTTAGGGTTTAATTCCGGCAATAATTCGAATTTTTCTCACCTTTTAAACCTCCCCTAGACCTCCACGAACATTTCAAGACCAAGGTAAGATAAATCCGTTCAGCCGTTCTAGAGTTTTAGCGAGACTAACAAACAACAATTTTTTATGTATATAGATTAGAGAATATGTAGAAAAGTGTAAAAATATCCTATGCTATAATTATTGGTTACAGACAGAGCGAAATTGTGGGAATTAGTCAAAAGACGGTCTCATAATGTGAAAGCCTATTGAGGATTAAGATATATTTTCGAGACATATTTTATCCCATCGTTTATTAAATAAATATTTTCTTTATTTTCGCTTTGTTAAATCAATAACTTTTTCCTTTATACCTCAATTTGACCTTATTATTGACCGATGAAGAAAAAAGGTATATTTAAAGAACTAATGAGCTTTATCTACGTAATACTTTGGATAAATGAGTACAAAACAAACAAAACTAAACCGCAGACTATTTAAACATCACATTTAAATCCGGGAGTGTTAAAATAGCACTGTTTAGGAAAGGTGAATTATATTAAGGAAAATCATAAAGATAAATTACGATTCATTTGATTTAGCATAAGTAGTATTGATTTTGATTACTTTAAGAAATGATTAAATGAATTTCAAATATAAATTCATCACCTGCCCATTACACTTCACTTTATTTTTAGTTCACCAATATCAATCTACCATACTTCCAGTAGTTACTTTCTATACAGTCAGTTTCTAAGACCAACATTTCTGTACAAAACATAGTCATCCCTTTCGTTGTCTTTGGCAAAACGGAGATATCAATATAATCATCATGTTTAATCATCTTTCGTGTTAATTCCAAATACAATTTAAGAAAAAAAAAATACCTTTTCTAGATCCTGTTCGTACCAGCCATTACGATATCCGTATTCGGGATCTGTCGGGGACTTTCTAAAGTTCCATATTCCGTTTAATGTCTTTAAATCTCTTGTGTCAGTCGCCTGTGGGTACAGTGCACCACCAGTGTTTGGTTGTGCTCGTCTCTTCTGTGTGTATGTTATCTCATTAGAGCTTGATGACCCAGGTACAGTCGCGTCGACAATGATTATGCATAATGTCGATATTACTAAAGTAGATATTTTTCTTAGCTTCATCTGCAACAAGATAAAAATTGGTTCATTTTCAATGGTTATGTTTTGGTATTTGATATTCATATGTTAGAGTTAAACGCACTATTGACAAATCAGGTATAAACAAAATCAGTTATTGTAGAAACAAAATTCTTTAAAACTATCTATAGAATACAAATAATTATGTTTATATTACATTAATGATTACTTCAAAAACTAAAAAAGAAATTTTGTATTTGAATTCATTAAAAGTAACCCATTGCGGATTTTTTCAATTTCGAAAAGAAATAAAAGTGCTAAATGTGCGATTCTAAAGTCGAGGTTGCTATTTGAATTTATATTTTTAGCTTTGAAATAGTTTTAACCACAACAATCCTGGTGGTCCAACACTGGTGGAAATGAAAGCAATTGCTTTCATCCGTTTGAATATTCGCAACAGCATCAGTGATTTCTTTCAACGTGCATAATGAAAAGATAATTAGAATATTCTGTTAGTTGTATTGGAAAGTATTGCTTTCCTCAGAAATAGCAGAAATTTAATTGAATGGAGACAAGATTATTTAGATTTTCGTACTTCAATAAGAAACAACGAATTGAAAATAGCTAACGCTAAGTAATAATTATGTCAGTTTTTTTTAAATAGTATTTTTTATTCGCCTCGCAGTATTAAAGCTTTTTTATCATTTATATTGGATGCTTTTCCGTATTATATAACATTTTTCGTAATAAACGTATATGTTAATTGCACAGGATATGTTGGTCAATATTCGTGTGGATCAGATGAATGTTTAATTCATTGGAAAGTGAAATATCCGAGTGTTTTCCATGCGCGCCGTCACCCACAGTCGTGCACTGCATGCGATCACAACATCTTAATTCGATAGGAAAGTGATTTAAAATTCTCTTGAAATTAGGAACTAGGAATGTCTAGTGATTCCGGTAAAAGTGTAAATAGTCTAATATCGAATTTTACGCTTTTAGTTGTTATGACAACAAAAAATCAATGGATGTTTATTTAATTTCTTTCTTCAATGAATCATATATGTATTGGCGGAATGCGGCGGAAAAATTGGATAAATATACTTTTTGTTACCCAGTCACCTCTTTTTTTCCCCAGAGAGGAATGCTCTATCCATACTCCGCGTCCCGGGGGGGAACACGTATATGTTATACATATAGAGCTGATGATGACTTTTTGTTCAAGTGCTGGACATGTTTATTATTTCAGAAATTATTACTTACCTTTGTTAACGCAGTTTGAAATGCAATTATTTTAACTTATGTTCTTATGATCAAGTTACTGACTGCGATACCTAAGCACAAGTAGCAACTTATAAGGTAAGGTTTAAATTGAAATGATAACACTATCAGTAAACAAGTTTAATTTAACAATCTCTATTCACATTTTAATTATTTGATGTAAAAAAGCGTATACGTTTTAAAACAGTTTTTATCGGTTATTTTTCGTAACAAACGAGTTTAATGTGTTTGATTATTGTAAACCTTCCGAAGTCGATAAAATGCAAGCATTATTAAAAAATTACATCTGTATTTGTTCTTTGTTTTAAGAATGTTAGAGGTGTGTTTTTGTTCATGTGTTAAGCTAAATAAAAGTTATAAAGAGATATGATTGTCTTCTTTTTAAATATTTGCAGATTTTTGTTCATTTACTAATATTTCTTGTACCATTCCAAGTAAGCTATAGGTTTGTGATAGGATATGGTTTACAATAGTCGAATGGTGAGATTCGAAGTCTCGACCACGTGATCGTAAATCTGTACCCTTAACCATTAGACTAATGGCACTCTGTAACTAAAATGTTTTCTATTCACAAAAATGTATTTCCTTATTGTATTTATATATTTCAAACTAAGCAGGGACGGCTGTAGTATTGTTAAAAACATGTACCATCATTTATGAACCGAGTATAAAAAGTACTGCTAATAATTAATTCATAAACTTCCCAACAACGTGTTGTAAACAAAAAGTTTGTAATAATTATGTTTAATTTAAGCGGATACGGCTTAATGAATATATGGAACATGCGGTCAACAAATATATTTGTGTTTGTGCACAGAGATCCATTGCGACATGTTTTCTAACCTAACCTAACCTAAAAGAAGTAGATCTATTAAACAGTGTCTTTCCTTAAAATTGTTTCTGTATATATTTTGATATTAAATACTGTTATAAATTTAATTTTCAACTAGCGCCCGTCTCCGTCTTCGTCTGCGCATAATTTAAAAAAAATAGCCTACAATATTACCGCGTACATCAGCTTCCTTCCTGTTAAAATCGCTCCAACCGTTCCGAAGATTATCCAAAACAAACGTATCCTTACGGACAGACAGAGAGGCGGACATACAAACAAAAACATGATTTTTCGTTATCAGATTCGTTTGACACGATGACTAAGAAATATGATATTACATAGAGACACTCCAATATTGTTATATGTGTAGATTTGGGTGATACTAAAGATTTGACTACAATTAAAAAGAATACTATATTGACATTACAACTTTTTTATTGTTTCTGTGTACGCAAAAAGTTGTCCTAAGTAATGTGTTGGCATTTACAACTCTACGTGCTTAAACACCTACGTATTTGATAAAAATCTCGGCATGCGGATACAGCTAAAAATTGTTTGGGACTTGAATTTAGATATCTTTAAAGTATCCAATAAAGATCCAGATTTTTTGGTACTTTAGTTATAATTTAAAATTGCAACCTTATACCTCATCAGACTAAATCTTTAGTACAATTCTTTAATACGAAACTAAAATAAAAATTATATTATTATTATTATATTATTATCATCAAAGTAAATATGTGGCACAACAATCTATACTTATTAAAAAAATTAGAATGTGTATCGAAATGTATCTTCTAGTTTGTCTGTCCGTAAGTTCGCATTTGTTGTAGGGAATCTTCGGAACGGCTGTACTAATTTTGACGGGACTTTGACGGAGAGCTGATGCACGCGGGTATATTATAGGCTACTTCTTTTTAATTCTGCGCTGAAGCTGACATTTTTATTACAAGTCTTTCTATATACAGTTCTATAAATACAGGGTAATAAATATCTGTAGCACCTTTATTGACATTGTAAAGATATAAGTGATATTTAAATTGTAAATTCAACGGTCGAATTCTAACGAAGGTCAGTTGCGTTTGTCTACGCTCCCACGCTCAACAATCGCTTATTGTACGCAGATTATAAAATACTAATCTTTAATACATCTGAATGTTAAAATTGATGAATAACATGTTTCAACTTTGTCTCTATTATGTTTATATTGATCCAAGATAAGATAAAAATACCACAGTACTATGCCAATATTTCCGCGAGTTATTAGGTTTGTTGTAGGAATTCTGAAACAATTGTAAATATATAATAACTGTAATGTATATACATAGGCTGGTTCTATAATAGTAAATGTATATTAAGGATATTTAGATATTTAGAACCGAGTTGAATTTTTTGAAAAGCCCGAGATTAAAGATAAATAAATAAACACGAGGTAAGAATTAAAACCTATTCGTGCTAACAGTTTTTGCATTCATGTTTGAGTTATGTCATAATTTAAAATTGTTAAAAGTTATTAATAATGTGATAGTCCAAGTTCGATAAATCAATCTATACAAAGGTCAATAACATCGTAGTGATGTAATTGTTCAAACATAATTATGAAGAAAATCGATGTTATGTCGATTTATTCATTCCGAGGTTGTTGACCTTTTGATTTTTTGCGACCGGTTCTTTGATTAACGTTATTGCTAATTTATTTAGTTATCCTAACGGTAGATACGATAGTTTGATGATAGATATTAAACTCTTTGTAAGCATTCGACAAAAGTTATCTGTTTTTATTCAAGAACCTAAACTTTACAAAAAAAAATCGAATAGTTTCGATGTTTTTTTGTCATGTTCTTGAAACATAAACTTCCTTCGTATTTCCCTTTTTTATTGACATGAATGTATATTATTTTTTTAATTAATATGTTTACTGGTACGCTACTTGTGCGATAGATATGTGCTTTTATAGGTAGCTGATTATCTAAGATATGTTATTAAGTAGGGGCCTATTAAAGTCCCCCATTCACTGCATCCATACTCTGAATGCAGGCATTGTGCCTTCAGGACTTTATCGGAGATCTCGTTTGAAGTGCGCTTGGTAATGCGATTCTCAGAGCGTATTATTTATATGAGACGTAGGGCTTGGAGTTAAGATATTACTGGAATATAAGAATAACTTAAATCTTTGAACATTATTTGGTATAACTTTTAAACGTTCCATCACTTTTTATTTAGGTTTTCATACCTTAAAATTTGTTTCGAAACAAGTACTCTATATAATATATTGTCTTGAATTTTAAAATGTTAGAACGAAATAAAATAATTTTTACATTTTAATAATATATCTTAATATCTATTTATTTTTATATTAAATAGTAGTTAACTAAAACATGAATGAGACACAACAAGTACTTATATCCTCCTGTTGTAAACTGCTTGCTAGTACATATATTATGTCAACAAAGCTAGGATAGGGGCATGCTTTCACGTTCTAATAAAAATTCTTACTTAACAATATCATATTACGTTGGTTGACAAGACTGCTTTGTAAGATAACATCGTGCTAGTAATTTGATCCTATGATCCGACTGAGAATACTCACAACTTTTGTCATCCCTCACGTACGGTAACATGATATTGTAGGAAAGCGCAACTTGTCAATTTCTACTGAAGCCAGAGAGATAAAGAGTACAGTTAGCATAGTAGTTAGTAAAAATTTGATTTGGCATTTATCTAGGTTTATAAAATTGGGGGCACAAAATTTCATCCCTCAAATTATTCGTAATTCAACCCATTTAACGGCCTTTTAGAAATGTGTTGTAAGCAAAAACTCTAGACGATATTTGATTGTACACTGCACACGCGTGTTGCATCGGTAACCTCGATTAGTTCTTGATAAAATTTTAATAGGTCTTAACATTGGATTCAACATAAAGTAATTTTA